TGGCAGAGGGGCAGCCCAAGAACCTGAAGAGAAAAGACTGTGTTGGTACCCGTGTCCCAACTGGCAAGCACAGCTCCTAAATGCAGGAGTCTGCAGCTGAGCCTATTTCTGTTTCAACTCATCTGAGACGTGAGTCATTTCCATCAAGAGGGGAGGCTGCCTTGATCTGTGTGCAAGTGTGAGATGGAACAGCAGATGTTGAAGCAAATGCAAACAGCCATGCCAGGGATTGAAAGGATGAAGTTTGTCTAAATAGTAAACAACCACCTGCTACAAAAGCAAAAACGACTCCCACAACCACCTGATTAAGACACTTATGTGATGGAGAGATTAAGAGGCAGATTTATTGTTAATTTGTTGGGACTTTTGAACTGAATATTTATTTTGCAGACAAATAGTAGGCTAGACAAGGAAATAGTGTTTCTACCACCCCCCTGCCCCCCAAACCTGTTCATCTGCACTTGCTTTACCTAGGGCTTACCACATCCACAAAAAAAAAGGAGTTAAAAATGACTGTAACCAAAGACAGCCATGTTACATATGTCTATTGCTAAAGATCAGCTAGATACACACACACAGAGGGCAAAATGAAAAATGGCTGAAATGTTTCCAACACAATTTAAAGAGCTGAAAATACTACTGTGTATCCTCAGAGTCATCACATAGCAGCCCACATACCATGACAGCAGCCCTGAGGGCAGTAAGCAAAAAATGCCATGGAGAATGACTGCAAAGGTATAGGACTGAATGGGTCCACCAGTCTTGCTCCTCTCATGGGCAACTACATCATATAATCCAGGGGTGGACAATTATTTCTGGTGGAGGGCCGCTTACTGAGTTTTGGTGAGCTCTGAAGGCCACATCGGTAGCCCCACCCCTTGACAGTTGCCCCACCCCGGTCACCATATTGGGACTGGAAGTCCTGCCCCCAACCCTGACCTTTGCCACCGGAAGTTCCTCCCCTTGCCCTGGAAGTACTCCTTTTGGGAGGGATGGTGCTGCAATCTTGAAACTGGAAAAACAAAAACAAATCATGTACAAAAACATAAAACATCTACTGTAACTTATTTTAATTTTATTTAAAAATATTTTGTACTGATTTATGTGCTTATGAAGTGTATCTAGAAGTGACTGCATACTAGCTCCAAATACAGCCCTACTGTATATTGTTTGTGGGCAGTAAAAGGGTGTATGTGGTGGGGTGTGGTTGGGAAATGTGTGTGTGGAGGGGTGCTGGGGTGTGGGGTTATGGTGGGTGGGGTGGGAAAGAAAGTGACAGCTGGGGCTGGTCTGCTGCCTCTATCGCACGCGGCTCTCATGGACTACACGTGAGTCTCACACGATGCAGTCAGGCAGACCACACACCCAGGCTTCGCGCTCCTGCCACCCCACCCCGGGTCCCTGCTGGTCTCAGGGCACCTGCATGGGCTCCTTGCTAACTGCCACCACCACTGCCCCACTGTTTCTTTGCTTTCCTTCCTGCACACCTTCATGCCACTGCTGTCGCTGCCGCTTCCCGTGCCGCTCCCCACGGTCCCCACCGTTCCTCACACCACTTGCCACTTAGTGCCACTCCCCACAATGCACCCGCATTGCTGCCACTTTCCTCACCACTCCCCACACCACTGCCGCCCTCCATCCTCCCTGCCCACTGCTTCCCACTCTGGCTCCAGCTCAGCCCAGCCAGGACCATAGGGCTCCTGGCTGCTGGGCAGTTTGCAGCAGTTTCCCCCTTTCCTCCATCCGATCTTATCTTACTTTCCACTTGGATGGAGGGAGGGTGGGGAACAGCTCCAGGGTTGCAAGGTCGGAAGCCACAGAGGCTTCTGGTTGGGAGCTGCGGGGGG